TTAAAAGCGTTTGGAGAGCCAAGTCAAACAGTAATACGAAATTAAATTGTCAAACAATTTGCCGCTGCGTTTGAAATGCTTTATTTAATTAATACGAAATGAGTGTGAGCATGGTGAGCTCTACAGGGAGATGGTGGAGACTCCGAGAGAGGACTGAGCGTGACGCATAGAGCAGCTGCTTCCATCTCAGCTGACCACCCGGTTTCTGTTGAGATAATCGAGGAAAACGTGCCAAAAGATAAATGTGGCAACAATAAAAAACGCAACCACCCCACAAGTGAGAAGTGGAGACCAGAAAGCGAGATACGGAGAAAGAGAGCCCAAGTGCGAGCAAGAGAGAAACTAAACCAGGTCTACAATCGGCAATGCAAATCAATCAAAGCCGATGGAAGTTAACGTTATTGCATTTGCCACACGCAACAACAAATACAACAATTTAACTTCCACAAGCCTAATTTTCAGCGAATCTAAAGAAATCTCGCCACCGTAACTATAAGTTGTGTTTCTTTATACGTTACGCTAATGGAAATTACTTCCATAAATCTAATTTTTTAAGTACAGTGGGCACCCCGAAGAGTTTACAAAGCTTTCTTCGTTTCACCAGTAAAATGTTTTAACCAGATAAAGTCTCTGCCATGTTAATGTTTACAAGAACCTAGACTCTCAGAGAAGTTTTCCTTTTCGATTAGACAGATTGAGTACTAATTTTAGATCTAAGATTCAGATACAAAATTATGATTTTAAACCATTAAATACTATTTTTGTTATAAAAAGCTTTTTAGATTAAAAAAAAGTATTTCTCATGTAATTCGTGGTTAATCAATTTATAGAACCTCCACTGTAGCCTGAGAAAATAACAACAAACACACATTTTCCATCATTATCATCAAAGCAAAGCGCGACTTGGATGTTGGAAAATGGCAATCATTTTAGCTAATTGGCTAGCATCGCAGGAGCGACCGAAAAGGGGATCACGAGAAAGAGAGACAGAGTGATGGCTGATCGGCATTTGTTCAATTAGAACGTAAACGTTTATGAGAATGGGGCTGGCCAAGGAGGGGCAGTGGTACGGAAATAGGAGAATAAAAACGAAGTTGGCGTGAAATAGGAGAATGGGAAATTGCAAACTCGGAAAATGGGAAAGAGATAAAATAAATAAAGCCACAGAAATATTACAAAGCAAATTTAATGCAAATCTTTATCGATCCTCAGTCTCTTATTATGAATATTTTTGAGACTTTTAAATGTTTCTTATTTCGAATACTTTTCAAGATACAAAAACTCAATTCCTCAGATACCCAATATAATCTAAATGAAGATACATATAACACAGTCAACATTTACACGACATATTTAAAAAGATTAAAGTCTAGCATCTAATTATTAATTTAAATGGGAAGTAACGAATTGTAGACCTTTTTAATTCTTTTCAAACGAATTGCTGCACAAAAAACCCGAAAAGGAGGACAACAACAATGCTCGAAAAGCTTCTTAACAGAGATGTTCCAATTAGGAAACCCATTATCCAACCAGAAAACGCAAGCGAAACGGGGGGAAAAAAGCTGCGCTCAAAATCAGATGCCTCACACAGAGACAAAACACACATACACAAACTCAAATCATTACGCGCAGGAAAAAAAAAAGATACAGGGCGCGGGAGGAAAAAGTGGGTGGACTGGATGAGGATGGGAATTGGCGGAGGATGAGTAAGCACAGCACAGCAGAGACAACATGAAAGAATCGCAAGTAATAAGAACACCGCACAGAAGACGAATAAGAAGTAGGAACCAGAGGGAAGCCGAATGCGCCACATGCAGGGCAACAACAACAAAGTAACGCAAGTGAAACAATAAGCAAAGCCAACACAAAAACAAAAAAAAGCACTGAGGCAAGAAGAATCATCGTCGCACCTCTCTTGCTCCGCCCCACTCTCCTACTCCCCTATCCAATCTATTCCATTCCATGCCATTCCGTTCGTTCCGCCCGGCTGTTAAGCGCAAATCAATGACCTACGACATCAACAAGAGCGCCAAACACACGCAGCCCCACCGTGAGTGCAAGCGAGAGCCGAAAGAACGGAGGAGAACGGCGAGATACACATAGTTCTAGAAGCTAGATGGGGTGGAAGGAAAATAATAGGTGCGAGAGGGAGAGGTATAGCACGTGGCAAGTGCGGGGGAGGCAAAAGAAGAGAGGAATCATAATCATGGAGTTTGGCGAATTGCTGCAGTTGCCGTTGCTGTAATTCCTTATCGTCCACAAAACAAGTGTATCAAGCTACAGAGGGGACTTCCTCGTGGCAGAATTAAATAATATTATAAAGATATTTTTGGGAAATATTGAAAATAATAATATAAAAAAAATGCACTAGAAAGAACATGAAAATTATGAAAAATAAACAAAAGAAAAATAAATATAATTAAATTACATAATGAGCAAATGTAACTGACGGTCCAAAGAAAATTCATCTAGGGGAATCATTTAAAAAGATTTCCTGCAAATTTTCAAACTAAGTAACCACAAAGTAATGCATACTGTGATTGGAGCAAATCCAGTAAGTTAAAGGGGAAAAAAAAACTAGAGTAACAGTGCCAGACGCTAAAAGGTAGAGAGGAATAAGAGAAATATGAGAAAAACAGGAGGACCGGACAACAACATAAACTTTGCTGAAGCTCTCTTTTGGCACGACTTCTGCTTTCCATTCATCTTCCCTTTTTTCATGGCGAAGGAACAACACCGAGGAGCAGAGGACCAAGTTACTTTTTGTTGTCGTCCTCCTCATGCTTGGGGGTCCTTTTCCGTTCCGTTTCTTCTGCTTCTTCTTATGCCTCCTGCCGCTCGCATAAATGCAATAAATATTCTCCTCCTATTCAGAGCTTGCCTTTGGTGGTTCTTCGTTCTCAAAGAGAGAAGACTGCACAATGTATGCACAAAAGGAAGTTGTGGCAAAGAAATATGTAAAAAAAAATAGAAAGGGCCACAAAAGTTATAACGGAAAATACGAATAACTTTAAATACTCTTTCTGGTGAGTGAAAAAAATACATTGAATAAAATCTAGAGTCCAAAAATACAAAAGTAAGTCCAGGATGTCTAATCTTTCAATATAAGAAGTAGTTGCAAAGAGGGCCCCTGCAATCGCCAAGGTCGAATCGGTTCACAATCAGACAAGGAAAGTGTATTTGGAGTTCAATCTTAGAAGAAAAATATTCATTCGACAATTTGCTTGATAAAAGCATAATCGATTGTGAGCCAACAGCCCGACACTTGTATGTGTTTGCGAAGGAAGTGAAAAGGAAATTGCAGGGCAATGCGACAGTAAGGGAATCACCTGGAGGTGGAAAGGAGAGGCCACGAACAGGTGAGCGTAAGGCCAGACGACGGGTGAAATTCTTTAATTAAAATTGCTTTTCCTATAAACAATTGTGACATAACAACGAGAACTTCTTCGACTTCTCAGTCAGCAATATCATCATCATCATCATCAAGAGCTCATTAGGTCCCTGTCGCAGAATTCGTATTAAATTCTTTCACTTGTTAAATTCCGACAAGTTGTTGTTTCTGGCTAAAATACCAGTAGCAGCAGTCGTCGTCGAGTTCTCAAGCCATCAGATTTACGGACAGACAGGTGAGTGGTGGTAAGTCTCAGGTGTGCGTGTGTGCTGTGGTGTGTTTCCAAGGCATGTGTGCAATGTTCTGGCTTTATAAGGCTGAAAAATTGCAACCGGACTGGGATCTATCCATGTAGTATCTCATCAGCCCCGCCCCGTTCATCTCTTCTCGCCTGTATTACCACATTTATCTCCATTAACAGCGGGGCAAAGACATGTAATAAAGCAGCACAGCACACACAGCGAGAAGAACAAAGAATGAAGAGCCAGCGAGAAGATTGGTCAAAGTATCTAAATATTATGGTAAGTTCTTTAGCAATTATATCTTATCTTATATACAAAGAGTATATAGTAAGCGAAAATACGCAAAACTCTTTATAAACTCTACCAAGTCTAGTAATACAGAAAAGTATGCAGAAGACTGCAAAATATTTACTTTATTTCACAAATTAGTTGATAAATGACTCTCATACTTTCAAATAAGTAATAACTACAATAAAATTTAACAAGTCCTTCAAAATAATTCTCTCGCTCTTAAGAACCTTTAAGAAAAAATAGAAAGACATCAAATGAAAGTTAGCCAATGAAAATGGAAAAACTTTTCGCAAAAATTCTAACCCACGAAGAAGTAGACGGGGAAAACCCATAAAAAACCAATCAACAACAAGGAAAATTATTGATTAACCTAACAAGAAAATATCATGAAATGAAATTGAATGGTTAAAGTTTTTTCCGCTTTCTATTTTATTTGGAAATAAACTTTCGATTTAAACATGTAAAAGTCCTATTAGGGCCACTTTGCGACAACTTAGGCTATTGTGTCGAGTTGGTTTTAGCTGAATGTTAGTTACAATAAACGCCAAATAATGAGACAGATGCGAGTAATGATATATCTATAAAGGTTATTTATTACTTCACAGAAAACAGAATGTCGTGGATGAGTCACCTTTAGTTACAGGAAAGTATCTACTATTAACAATGTTTCCTGTAATCCCAGTAGTTTGAAGACTGTTGTATTGGTAACAGTGATTAACTTCATGAAATAATTCTTCTGAATATTTGATCAACTAACCTTATAATTAACAACAATTAGCATTCTGTATGTGAACAAATAGTATCGATTGGTAGCCAAACATGGCAAGCCAATTAACGGTAGGCAAGGCTTATCAATGGCCCACTTATCGATTTAATCAAAGGTAAATCCTATACTCTGGTGACATTTTAACAAAAAACCAAGCCAACCAAGCAATGATTTGTATTGATCTTAGCCAGGGTTGGACACCGAGCTAGAGAGAACATAACGGAAAGGGGTTTAAGAACTATCCTCTCTAAATAGCAATGGTTTACCTAACTCAACAAAGATTTTAATAAAATATAAATCTTGAACTCACCGCTGCATTCCGATTGGCAGCCGCCACGACAGAGCTGTTCATATACTGATTCTGTGGCGGCATCATTGCCGCACCCATCGGCACCGTCGTCTGGCCGCCCATGTATACATAGTCCTGCGGTCCTCCGGCTCCAGGAGGTGGTCCTAGCGGTGGCTTTGGCATTCCTCCATTCATTCCGGGGTGCATACCCCCACCATGATGATCGTACATATTTCCACCCGACTGGGCATAGGATGACATGTGACCCATGGCAGCGGCATGGCTGAGCAGATTCGAGTTGTACTGCCCGGGATGCTGTTGCTGCTGTTGTTGCTGTTGCTGCTGGCCGGGATGCTGGATGCCCAGGCCGTTGCCATTGCCCATACCATTGCCGCCGCCCATCATGTGATGTGGATGACCCTGGTTCTGGACCTGCTGCTGCTGTTGCTGCTGTGGATGCGGCGGTTGTTGCTGGTGTTGATGCTGCTGGGCTGCAACGGCTGCCGCTGCCTGTGACATCATGTGATTGTGCTTGGCTACCGCAGCGGCCTGCTGCATAGCGGCCATATTAGCAGCGGCTGCTGCCATCGATGGATGATGGAGTCCACCGTTTGTGCCGGAGCCACCGTTATTACCGCCTCCAGCACCGCCACCACCGCCCATGCTTCCCAATCCGCTGCCCATGCCAATGGTTCCAATGGCCCCGGGGCCACCATTGCTGCCACTACCAGGCGGTCCGCCAGGAGCTGCATTTGCCGGATTCATTGGCGGATTGTATTTCCATTTGTCCGGGTTCTGAATTATAAGAACAGGGAAAGATATGGTTTTAGGAAAATAAATCTACAATTTTTATAAATAAACCTTAGAACAAACACATAGTTAATAGATACTTGCATCCAAACTGATTCCCAGATAAAAATGTTTGTAAATGCATTTTATAGTCCAGAACCAAACCCAGTTAATAGCTTATTTTATGTTCAGATTTGCACCCTTCAATCTATAGCTTTCCTTTACAATAATCCTTTGACATTGTCTCAATGCCAGATTGTAATAATCTGTTTATGCAACCATTTTTGGCAGAGAGCAACCTTAGACATTTACACAATCCGTGAAGGTCAAACTAAGACAGTGGAGAGAATCCCAAATAACCCCACTCTTAAATGGAAAAGCCACAAAAAGTAATCAAGAAGGAACCAACCCAAAACAAATAGAGAACGCTAAAATTATGCTAATTGGAAAAATGCAATCGATTTTATCCGCTTCTTTTAGTGTACATTACTTTATGGGGAAAATATTGTAAACATTTTTGAAATGCACAAACATATTTAAACTTTTAGCTTTAAATATCGTTTAATAAAATTAAAAGGATACTAAAGGCACATCTATCCTTTCTTATAAATTCATAATTTTTAGTGCATTTATAAAGTTGCCTGCAGTTTCATAAGTTTAGCAATTATAGTTCCCGAAAATATACTTACATCCATGCCATGACCATCGTCGCCGCAAGCCCAGCGCGTCTGCTGTTGTTTCTGGGCAAAGTGGGCAGCATATTCGGCGGCGGCGGCCTCGTGCAAGGTCGAACCGACGGCTCCAACACCAGGCACTCCCTGGCCGCCACCTACACCGCCGACGCCCACTGCTCCCGGGGAGGGACGTTGCTGGAAGACATAGCCAACGGCAGCGGCTGCGGCAGCACCGGCTGCATCGGCAGCATCCTGGGATACGCCACCGCGAGATCCTACCACAATGGCATCCGTGCCGGCGCCAACGCCGACGCCTCCGCGGCCATTGCGATCATCGTTGCCACCCAAAAACTTCATATGTTGCTGCTGGTTGTGCTGGTGTTGCTGCTGCTGTTGCTGATGAAGCTGTTGAAAATAGGGCGGTGGCGGACCGTAATGTTGCTGCTGCTGTTGTTGATGTTGCTGGTAGAGCGTTTGCTGCTGCTGCTGCTGATGTTGCTGCTGCGGCGAAGGCGTCGATATGGCGATTGTGGGCGCGGTTAGGAGCTCAATTTTGACGGCTTTTCTTAGCTATCGCAGCTGACAATTTTGCGCGTATTGCCAACTGGGTTATATAGCTACACTTTTTGATTTATATCGAAATCACCATAAGGATAGCTTCCTTTTTTCAAAATTTTTCACAACGTCACACGCGTTTTGAACTCGGGAATCGAACTATTCACAAATGGTTGTTTTGTTTAATTGGCTTAATTTTCTCTTCAAATTTTCACTTGTTTGTTGTCGTAGAGAAACCGCACTTTATTCTTAATATATTTAACATTAATTTACAGGATTTTGGGGAGATTTTTCTTCCATTCACTTTAGCTCAAAAAAATTATTAATTTCTTGGTTTTGGTTTGGTTGTCGTGGTAGGTTGTTTTTTACATAAATTTACACAAAAATTATGAATAATATTTTACACAGTGGTTTTTACGGGACTTAAAACAAAACTGAACTTTATTGTATAATTACGTATTAGAATTGGTTAAAATTTGAATTTTTACAGATTTACTTTGCTTGAGAATTCTTGAAATTTCCGGGGTTTTTTTTTAACGTAGTTTATTAATTATAATTAGGATGAATTTTAATTTACACGACGTTTTAATGATGAAAATATACACAAACTGTAAAGATAAAAGATGGAAGTATGATTAATATTTTATAATAAAGAATTTTAAATATAATAAATGGATGCTGGATTCCATTATATAAAGCTCACTGTACTTCTCTGCGAATAAAATCTTTGAGCTGGTCATGGTAAAAGTAAAAGAAGGGAATCCGATAACACCGACAGCAGACAGGGCGCATAATAATCAACAAAATAAAACGCACAAGGGGCGAAGGCGAATAAAAACAAAGAAAATTCTTCTATGACTGAAAGACGACCAAGACAAATACTAGCCATGAATTTCCTCATTACGAAAACAATAACAAAGTTTGTCTAGGCGAGTGGGGGGAGCCCGGGGGCTGCTCTTGAGGAACAGGAGCCACAAGAACAAGTAGAAGAAGAATTCTATCCGTAGAAGAACAACGCATAGCTGAATCATACCCGAAAGATACGGAAAATATAATAAGCTCACCTATGTACACAGATGATCGAAACACAAGATACTCTAGAAGAGTAATGGGTAACCCCATTGAATTAATAAATATACTTTATGAATATTTTTTTGTTTGTAAATAAAATAAATTGAACAATTTTAGGGGCCCACTCTGCAGCTGAGACAATATTCACTGTCACGAAATATACCTTATACAGAATTTTGCAAATATTATAATAATAATTATTTTATTATTATATTTCTTTTTGAATTAGTTTCAAGAAGATAATAAGTAAAAACAAAAATTAAAGGGTAGAAAGTAAAAATACTGTAGGTAATGGTAATTTGTATAGTTTAGAGAATCACTAATAGCGAGTTTATACCATGATATCTGGCACTTTTCCTAAACTTCTGGACAGAATTATGGCACTCCCCCCGCAAAGGGAGGTGAAAAGCGCAGAGACAGCGGCTGAAAAGGAAAAGAGCAAGGGGGCGGGGCGCATAGAGAGGGACGTTGAAAATGGAAAACACATAAAATTAACATACACACAGAACACTGAACAAGAACAACAACAACGATGCCGGCAGACGATGAGCGAATGGCGAAGAAAACGAAACGAAACAAAACGAAGACGAAAGGCAAGGCGGCCGCAACATTTGAGGTTAAGTTTTCTGCGAGAAGAATGCGAGAATATGTCTGTGGGTCGGTTTTTTCAACTTTTTTATTCTTGTTTACGAGAATCTCCTTTTTTCCTTTGAGCGAGCGAGCACGAACAAGTGCAGAGAGGCCCTGGAAATCCGCACACACACACTCACGAACATAAAAACAAACATAAAGATAAACCATAAAAGAGACATGTGAAAAACAAAGGCAGAAGGATCCGAAAGGCGTAGCGGGTGGGGGCGTGGCACTTTGCCTCCCCCTGCTCGCGCTCAATGAATAATTAAACGAATTATTAAATATTTCAGTTAGTTAACCTTGCGTCTGTGTGAGTGTGTGATAATACGGTTGTTATGCGTTCTTATTGGGAAAAATTCGTGTGTACAAATGCAAGGCGTCCCGAGAGAGAAACAGAGAGAGCAGAGAATTGTGCAAATGTAAAGAGAAGGAGGAGAAGAAGGAAGCAGTAGCAAAAGAAGAAGCAGAGCAGCCAAATGGCCGCCGCTGACAAGGAAGAAAAACGATGGAACAGGCAACAAGGCGAAATAATGAAACACACAACACACACACACACTCTCACGCACATACACAATCGGAAAAATCAAATGTTTAACCGAAAAAAAAACGCAAATGAATTATTCAGTCGCCTCCTTAATTGATTTTTACCATTTCGGGCAAAACGCTATGTAATTTTGCAAACTATTTTTATGCACAAAATATATGTGAGAAGCGGTCTGGAAATACACACACACAGAAGCAGGCGGCCGCCGAAAAGGAAACCCGATGATGACAATGTAAAACGAGGCAGAAGGAACAGGCACACGGGCAAAAATTAATACGAAAAACGGTCTCGTCGGGGAAAAAACTTTTTGTTGTTTGGAGGAGCACTTACACATGCACTAAAAAAAGCATTCGCGATGCGCTTGGATTTCCCCTTAACGGTGTGTGCTTTCGTATTAATTTAGATTATTTAAATTACAAGTATTTACACAGGATGATGAAGAGTCGGCTAGATTCTTCAACGTCGCCGCCGCCGTCGCAGAACGATAATAAAAGCGAAAATGCAAAGACACGGCCAATACAAATACAACGAGACTGAGAGAGACGGGAGAACAAGAACGACAGTGTTGGCCAACGGCCCAAACCAGCTCGGTCATGCGCCGGGCCGCGAGAGAGAGGGAGAGAGCGACGGAGAGCAACAAGAGAGGCACAAATTTATGTTTAGAACTTGCAAAGAGCACCGAGCCGCTCTCGCAAATACAAATTTATTTCGCTTTTGTTAACATGCGCGCATAATATTTATATTGATTACACACTTCGGCTTCCTTCTTTTATATTATCAGCCCAGCAGTTTTTATTCTCTTTGCACTATTTTATTTACACTATCCAAATTGTTTATATATTATTTATCAATCGATTTTGTGGCCAAATTGATTAGACGCCAGACGCACACACACAAAGTCACACGCACATGCACTCGCGCATACATACACACGCAGTTGTGTTTGTTTTGTTTTTGTTTGCGGCTTTTTTTTATCAACTGCTTTTTCGCACAAACCGCAGAACATTCCGCTTTTCCGGCAGGCGGAAATTGAAAAGCACTTCGCCAGTATAACTTTGTACCCGCGTTCTTTTCAGCCCCTTTCTTTGTTGCTTTTCGCACAAACCTTAGCTTATTTGAAAATTTACATTATTACAAGCACGCCGTTCTTGTGCTTGTTCTTTTGTCTTTGCTGTCTTTGTTTTCAGTGTGACCAGATGAAAATTTGGCTCTCTCCCTAAAAAATCCCAAATATCGAATATTTTTTCCGTGACGTAAAAATCGTCACGAGATTTCGATAAATTTCCAACAAAAATATCGAATATATTTTGATCTGGTTCACGGGAAGTCTGGCAACGCTGGTCGAAGTTGCCAGATCATTTGGTGGGAAAGTTTGCTAAGCAAAAAATCACCTTCCTTTTTCTGAAAATCCCTAGCGCCATGACCAGTGCTGTCACGTGAGTGCGAATAAAATCGACTTGAGGCTTGGCGCTTTATTTGAAATCTATTCAATGATCCGATTTCTGGTTCTAATTTAAATTAATTTGGCTTCCCATGAAGAATATATGCAAAAATATTTTATCTGACATCATAGAGAAAATCCCAACCCCCAACCATAATACAATTCCAAATTAAACACAACATTTTAGTCTAATGTTTATTTAAATTTGCTGCGGATCGAAGAAATATTCCAATCAAATGAAATTACATTCATTATTACAATGAAACACATTTATAATTCCGGGTTTCTTGGGAAATGTGGGGAAATTATATATAATTATCTCTCTTTTGTTTCCTTTCCCGAACGAAAAACTAATATATGTATATGTGTAGTTTATTTGAAATTATAAGTTAAAGAAAACGGTTGGCAGCCCTTACAAATGAATCCCTTTCGGGATTCAGTGCAAGGGGGAAAGGAGACCAGAGTCCGCAGGAATCGGGGGGCCGGTTCTGTCCTGTATTTTCATATTTTTTTGTGGTCTCTCGTGTGGTGTGTGTTCTTCTTATTTGTAGAAAATGGTTTATGTTTTCTTAGCTTTTCTTTAAATTTTTTTTTCTTTCGCTTCTTTCGATTTGTATAGTTTTGTTTGGAAATGTGTAATTAGTTTTTAGGCGGCTCCCGATTCACCATCCTGATAGACGTCCGAAACATATTCGATGGAATCGTTGGCATCGTTATCGCCTTCGGAGGAATTCCATTTGAGGCCATCTGCTTTGGGGGATCCTTCCTTATCGCCGCGCGACTCCTTCTTGTTGTTGCTCCCTGCTTGGTCGGCGGAGTCCTCATCCTCATCGTTGGACGTCACCTTAGCGGGTCGACCGCGTTTGGCAGATCCGTCGCTGCCGGATTTTGCATTTAGTGAGGGACGTCCACGCTTCTTCGGAGTCACTGCGGTCTTCTCCGGCGAGCTATGGTGCCGCTCTTCTTGCGACCCATCGTCATCATCGGCATCTTCGCCATTATCCTCGCCCTTATCAGAATTGGCATTGACCTTCGGGCGGCCACGTGGACGACCAGTGGGCACATAGGGAGCGGCAGCGACGCCTTTGCTTGATGGACGTCCACGCTTCTTGGGTGGCGGATCCCCTTCGCCGTTCCATTCGGCAACCGCTTGCTTCTTCGGTCTGCCCTGACCACGACCAGTGCGCCCTATGTTCAGGTTAACAGCTCCAGTTGATGGGCGGCCTACCGGCAGAGCATCTTCATCATCATCGTCGTCATCGTCGTTGTCATCTGTGAGGAAAGCAGAGAGATAAAGGGTTGATGAAGGGTTAACTTGAAGGTGTAGATTTAGCATGATCTTATGTTTGATATCTGTAAAAAGCTATAATTTCTTTTTAATAATTCTGTTTGCATTGCTGGCGATGCCACCTATCTTATTTATATTATTCCTAATTCACTTTTGTAAAAGGAAACCCTTGAAATTCGATTTTTACCTACCATCAAGTAAAAGAATTCGAGTAAATCTCAACCAGGTAGCGGTTAAGATTGGTGTAAAAAACAAACAGAAAGACGGAAAAGGCCAAAAAGAAAGCCCATTTTTCAGTTTTTGCATATATGTACATATGTTTTATATTATTTAGAAAATACCTTCTTTACTTGAGAAACTCGAAAAAATAAATCCCATTATTATAGGGCAACACTGGAAATATATTATTCAAAATTTGAACTCTTAGAAATAGCAACACTACAAAAAAATTGCACTGAGGCAAAATATCTTAATGATAATTAAACGTAATAAATAAATCCTTACAAAAAACACATAGAAAACTACTGCTTATTAGAAATTATTAAAAAAAAAAATAAATAAATATTCGAGGGGAGAAAATACTACCTCGTTAGAAATTAAATCTAATTTTTTTTTATGTTTAAATATAAAAATCCTAATTATTTTTTCTAACTGCAAAAATTATATGTAATAAATATTCCTAACAAACTGCACTTATAAAAAAGTACCGCTAATTGTCTTTATTAAAAAAATATATATATATATATTAAAATAAAAAATTATAAATAATGTTAGAGAGTAACCCTAGAACAGTCAAAAATTCAATTAATTAAAATTTAAATTTTCTAATCTAATAAATCATATTTATTTTTCTAACTGCACCGGGGGCATCGGTCAACTTAAGCATAAAAAAAATGGCGTTTACTCTCCATTTTTACTAGTTGGCATACATTTTTTTTTTTAAGAAATGTCAGAAAGAGAATAAAAAAAAAGAGACCAAAACCCCTGAAGACATGTTTGATTTTGCACATTTTACGTACAGTTTTCGTTCAAGTCAAGAGGTAACCGGTAGGGGGACGCAGGGGGGGGGGTTACTTAATTGCTGCATTATTTAAGATTAATATTAGAAACTTGCCTTCCTCACTGTCGCTGGGCTGATGCTTCTTGGGACGCCCGGCCTTGCGCTTCTTGGCGGAGGACGGCGTCTTGTTGCCATCACTGCTAGAAGCTCCGGCTCCGCTGCTCCTAGGGCGGCCCCTGCCTTTTGCCGGCGTTGGCGAGGCGACCTCCTCGCCGGAATCATTCTCATTCTCGCTGCCCTGAGCGTCCTCGTCATAGTTCTTGGGGCTCTTGGGCGCCTTGGGTGGACGACCACGCTGGCCAGTGCCACCGCTGGCGCTCTTTGCGGGACGACCGCGTTTTTTGCCGCTACCGGCCGGGGTCGATGCGCCGCCGCCGCCGCCTCCTGCCTTTGGGGGCCGGCCGCGCTTCTTAACTGCCACTTCCTCCATAGCTGACTTTTGGCCGAGATTTAATTAGCAAGCGAATAAGGAAAATCCTTGTTCTTTCTGCGCCTTTTTAGCGGCGTCCCTTCGTATAAAAGCACACAAACACAAACGCGAACTCTCGCACCGTCGCTCTCACTCGCGCGCACACACACACACACGCAGGTACAGAGACAAACGGCTTTTCTCTTGCTTTTTTTGTGCTTGCCGAAAATTGAACTGGAAAATACAAGGAAATAACAATGTCGGTTGGTAAGTTAAAGGCGTTAAAATGTGTAGAAAAATATGGGAAAAATTTGCAGAATTTTTTATGGGGGAAAAACGAAAACTTGCCTGGTCAATTTTCTTTAACAAATAAAACGAGCGCTATTTTTCTCACGCAGTACAGTTTTTTGCGCAAAGTATGCCCGTTTGCCGGCTTTGGTTCGGTACAGTGTGGCCGCCTGCCGATGAAATAATCACGGCTTTTTTATAGAATCGATATATTTTTGATTTTATTTTTAACGGTTTTAAGAAGACTGATTTTAATCCTTTTGCTTTTCGAAATGCTGTACTTTTACTATAAATGCCGACAGAAATGCAGGTAGAAATACCGATTCAGGTACGAGTTGATGCCAGTTTTCGGAATAAACGGTTTTTTATTCACTTTATTCTATTTTGAAAAGCACAGAATATAAAAATTTGTAACAAATTACGCAAAACTAAATCTGTTTTACACTTTCAATAATAAACATCACTGTGAAAAATTGTTACTTGTTATTCAAACTCAAACTCAATCGAATGAAGTTTCGAACTAATTTACTTTCAGCACGTTCGCCCAGCTTGCTCTGATATTATGAAAAACTATTTTCAAAATAAAAACGAAAGATAAAGCGACCCGGATTATGGTGTTTTATAGATGTTCATATTAAAAAATATATAAAAACATCAATGCCTGCAAGTAACAACAAATATTGAATATTTATTGGTATTTATTTGAATATACCACAAACAGTGACCAAGAGGAGGCTGGCATTTCACTGTTTAAACAACCCGGTCACACTATTCGAGTTGGGCCAGAAATTTCAGCTGCTTATTTTTATTTTGTATTATAATTTAAGTAAAACATAAGTGTAAGAGAAAAGTTTTAAGCCGGCTATCAGTGTAAGTGTACTATGAGTTAGGGCAAACTGTGGGAGCGTTGGAAAACTCACCTGGATATGGGCGCACTTTAATTTTAACACGAAACACTCCTAGCACTATGAACACACATGTACATAATTAACAATTGTTTTTTTTTACTTTCATCACAAACACACAAACACACACAACGACTGCAGTAGATAGAAAAACAGCAACAACAAACACAAACATAAAAGAACGCTTTGAGTTTGCACTTTTCCTGCCTTCCCCCCACTTTACGTTGCGCCCTTTCACCCCTTCCACTTTCGGCTCCACCTGTCCTCCCTCCCCCCTTGTTTATAAAGAAATCCTTAAGCAATGTCGGATCTCTTTACCTCTTTCGATAGCACCACAACACGTACACATCGGCCATGGCCTCGCCCTCCCAGCACAGTCCGATGACCAACAACAGCAACTCATCCTCGCAGAACGGCGGTCCGATGGCCGCGGGTTCGGTCTCTGGTTTGGGCACAGCATCCGGTGGTGGTAGCAAGTCATCTAATCACTCAAACGCCGCAACCGGCAACGAGAACACACCCGTAAGCTGTTCATTCCTAGTTATGCCATGTCCTAATCCCATATTACCCTTTCACCTGTAGATGCTCACCAAGCCGCGTCTCACGGAGCTCGTACGCGAGGTGGACACCACCACGCAGCTGGACGAAGATGTCGAGGAGTTGCTGCTGCAGATCATTGATGACTTTGTCGAGGACACCGTCAAGTCCACCAGTGCGTTTGCCAAGCACCGAAAGTCCAACAAGATTGAGGTGCGCGATGTGCAGCTCCATTTTGAGCGCAAGTACAATATGTGGATACCAGGATTTGGAACGGACGAGCTTCGTCCCTACAAGCGCGCCGCCGTCACGGAGGCGCACAAGCAGCGCCTGGCTCTGATCCGGAAAACGATCAAAAAGTACTAGGCGGAGGCTTCAACCGGATTTCGGGCCATGCCACAAACTATTTTAAGCTCCCACGTAGAATAAGGAAAACATTTACCCACGTTCTAGCGTAGTTATTAAAGGAATAAAGTACACATTGATTTTACATTTGACCTTGGTAAGAATTTATTTTAAACTTCCTTAAAAGTGCTATTAACAAAAACTTATTTTTTATTAATTTAATTAAGTAATATAAAAAACAATTGGGGTTTAGAAAAACTACAGCTAAACGCGCCCAATTTTTAACTGGTTACTGTGAATACTGAAAAAAGTGATATTATATTTCAGTATTTTCAGCTAGTCCGTATTTATTTGCACGCCGATCAAGGTCATACCTTTTAAAATGTTGATTTTCTGATTGTTGACTTTGGAATAGCTACACTTAAAGTGGTTTTACTGGGTTAATTAAACGCCTCTGCCATGAAGCTGCCGGTTATGTGTCGCACTTGCGACTCCACGGACACCGACAATCTTCTCAAGCTGGCCACGCCCTCGAAAAAGTATCCGGACAAGCTGCTATCGGAGATTTTGATGGAGCTTACCGATATCCATGTAAACAAAGCACTGAAAATTAATGAAGCACTGGAAATCGTAATTTAAAATGAGTTATTACTTTCAGGTGGACGGGATTGGCACTCAGAAGCTGCCGCAATGCTTGTGCAGCAGCTGCACCAAGAAACTTATGGCTAGTTATTGCTTTGTGAAGCAGGCGCTGGCCGCCAACGAACTGCTGATGAAGCACTTGAAGAACGGCTCTGCGCCAACCGCCAACGACTGTCTGCAGGAAGCGCCCATGGAGCTGTGCGCCGAGCAGCATGTGGAGGTCAAGATGGAGACGGAGGACGAGGAGTGTGGCGGCGATAAGGATGTTAGCATCAGCTGCTCTGAGCTGCCAGACCCGGGTGAACAGGATGTGGAGAGCAAGAAATCTGTGGATCCGCTGACCATGATTGAGACGGTGAAGCTGGAGGGTGAACCGCCAAGCGTGGAAAGGCCGGCGGAAGAAGAGTCCTCGTCAGACTTTGAGGATGAAGAGTGGGTTGCCAAAAACAAACTCAATGAAAATCCTTTATAACCTTAACCTTTGCAGCTCCCTGGACAGCCTGCCCCTGAATAAACGCATCCAAAAGTGGAAGGCCAGAAGTCTGTCCGTTTTCAAGTGCCACGATTGCCCCAGGAGTTTCAAGAGAAACGAGTACCTAAAGCGCCATGAAATCCGTGTCCACCAGCCGGAGACCCACTGGTTTGCCTGCTCCCTCTGCGTGCGTAAGTTTAGCCGCAGCGAAGCCCTCGAGGCTCACCTGAAGGTCCACAGAAACTCCAAGCGTTCGGCCAACATCAGCGAGCACAAGAAGGCCAAGGCGGTGGATCTGAATCTGTGCAAGCCGCATGGCTACAAGCTCATCGAGTGCATGATCTGCCAGAGTCAGTACAACAAGATTGCGGATCTTCGCAGGCACTTGGAAGAGCATCCAGATATTGTCAGCCTGGGAGTACGTCCAAATGTGGAGCCAAATGAGCTGGCGGAACTGTTTTATCCCGACTCCAAGGACCTGGACGAGGAGCAGTTGATTGTACTAATCCGCAAGGATTTGGCTTCGGGCATTTATCAGCGTTTCTACTCGATAACCAATCAAAGTGGCTATGAAATGGATCTAGACAGCTCGGAGACTGACAGCGAGTTGGACGGTGAGCCCGAGGATCAGCAGAACAGGAGGCGGCGCAAGAACCGCTACACCTGCGAATTGTGCCAGCAAAAGTTTCCGCGAAAATATCAGCTCTATGATCACCAACGGCAGAGCCACAGTTGGTCCGAGGCTCCGCATGTCTGCGGGCGGTGTGATGGACGCTTTGTCAGCCTACAGTTGCTGAGGCATCACAACGAGTCGCAGTGCCGAAATGCTCAAAAACGCTTCCTTTGCCATAAATGTCCCCTGCGCTTCCGGTGGAAACACAATCTAAAGACACATTTCCGCGAGCATAGAATAACCGTAAGTTATCTTTGTAAATATTATCCAAAAAAACGCTAAACTTCTTGAATACTTTCTCACAGAACCAAACCTTCGAGTGTCCCGAGTGCAAGCGGGTTTTTGACAAAAAGAAATCCCTCACCGTTCACCTGCTTAGCGTTCATGCCGAGGAATCCAAGCTTATACCTTGCCAGTGGTGTAGTCGCAAGTTCTATCGTCATGACTACCTGGTGAAGCATTTAAAGCGTCACGGGCTCAAGGAGCAGGACATTCCACTGGCCGAGACCTTAATAGCGGCCACATCGCGGCCCAATGGAACCAAGAGAATCACCTGCCGAATGTGCAATCTACACTTTGAGCGGATTGTGGATCTGCGGGCCCACATCCAGCTGGAGTTGAAGCTCTCCTTGTCGCTACACCAAAGCTACGACTCGCCGCACAATTATTCGATTACAAACGAGTCTGGCTTTGAGTTGCAGCTAGAGGATTCGGAGACCGAGGACGAAATGCAGTCGAGCAGTGGTAGTCGTCATGTTTACATCTGTGAGCTGTGCAGCGTTCAGTGCAAGCGGAAATTCGAGATGATTCAGCATCAAAGGACAATGCATCGTTTCGACAAAATGCCGCATGAATGCGATGATTGCATCTTCAAGTGTGTGTCCAAGGTGGGTTTGTAGTTGAATAAAACATTGTACAAATAAATAAGCTTTTAATCTTTATAACCAGAGCATAATGGATCACCACCGACTGGGGCAATGCAGCAGCAAGGACAAGATGTATACCTGCAGCAAGTGCTCCTACAAATTCATGTGGCCCGAGAACCTAGAGCAGCATATGCGACTGCAGCACAGCGAAACTTCTTCTACCAACAAACCCACAAGCAGCGAGGGCAGGCCACAGACTGGACCTGGTGACCTGGTCAAGGAAGCCGGCGAAGATGGTGTTCCACTATTGCAGTGTCCGCATTGCGATCGCACTTACCAGATGAAGTCCCGCCTCAACAACCACATCCGGGATGTCCATGTAAACGGGGATCGGAAGCGCAAGGAGGCCGTTAAGCGTTTCTTGTGCTCCCTGTGCGGCAGGGAGACCCGTTCAGCGGCCGCTCTCGTTACCCATACCCGGCGTCACACCGGCGAGAAGCCTTTTAAATGCGATCAGTGTGAGATGGCCTTTCCCCGGCATTCGGAGTTGGCCTCCCATCGACGGATGCACACCGGTGAGAAACCCTTTCACTGCACAGTCTGTGGCAAGGATTTCGCGCGCTCCGACAAGCTCAAGCGTCATATGCTCACCCACAGCGGTCTGAAGCCGCACAAGTGTACGTACTGCGAGAAGAGCTACCGCCAGGCCAAGGATTTGAAGCTTCATCTCCAGCAGCACACGGGCGAGTGTCCGTTTGTGTGTGGCACCTGCGGCGAGCGATTCATACAGAGCAGCACGCTGGAGAAGCATCGTCTAATGCGACGCCACTTTGACGAAGTGGAAGCCTGGCTAAGGCGTCAAAAATAGAACAGGTGTTTGAGAAATTAAATAAAGTTTAGGTTCTAGCATAAAAAATACATGGTTTTTTATGATGATAGTTTAGAGTTCAAGCTAAAGAAGGCACATGATTGAGAAACTACAAACGGAAGTGAAAAGTATTTTAATGAACTAATTTTGTGTAACTCCGACTGATAACAAAACACACTTGATCTCTGGGGTTGAAGAAACCCAAACAATACTTCCAATAAAACCGATAAGGGGCTAAAAATAAGAAAAAAATATACAAAAACGGTTGTTAGAAAAGAGAAATCTCAAATTTAATTCCAATTTAAAAACTTAATATAAAAACTTTGGGCTTTAGGCACACAGCATTCCACTTGATGGCACTGACACTATAGATATCCATCATTCTACAGCTCATCGGAGCTCGGTTCGATTTTCATCATTTCCGTTTCAAAATGCAGCACTGCATTGGGTGGAATCAGGCCACCGCCCGCTCCACTTGCTCCATAGCCCAGCTCTGAGGGAACCGTCAACTTCCGCTGTTCGCCCACGCACATGCCAAGGATACCCTGGTCCCAGCCCTTGATCACCTGGCGGGCGCCCAGGGTAAAGGAGAAGGGTGTGCCGCGCTTGTAGCTGGTGTCGAATTCCGAGCCGTCGTCCAAAGTGCCCTGGAAGAAAGGTGTCCCGAAATGCGAGGTTAGGGTTTCCAGGCTCGGCTCTGTTATCAGCGAGCAGCCTTACCTTGTAGTGGACATGGACCAGGTCACCGTTTTTGGCCTGCCGCTTGCAGTTCTCCACGCGCTTGGTGATCCCGATCTTGAGCTTGGGCTCGCCGGCCAAGGATGTGGCCACGAAGGCGAAGATTAGGAGGAGAGTCAGCTTCATCTTATTGGGATTTTTGAATTGGATATGCAGGGCAGCAAGTAGTTGTAAGTGTGGTTGTGGCAGCAGTGTGGCCGTATGCTTTTAGGAAAATGCTTACAGTGCTTAAAAAAATTCAACAAAAATAAATAAATAAAATAAAATATTATGGTTAAATTTAATTGCTTTAGAGAATGCATAATATTTATTTTTTTACGTTAAAATTTTTTGAAGTTAAGATTGGTAAATAATTTTTATTTTTACTTACTTTTTACTTATTTAATTAACAGTTACAACCCAATTTTAATATGAAATTTGAAAAATAAACATTATTCCAAATCTTTTTTATTCAAATTTAAAAATAAACGCAATTAAAAAATAAAAATTTGTTATAAAAGTTTATCATATTTTTGAAAACTTCTTCGAGAAATATGTAATACCTAAATGTTTGCATAAATTCAGCTACATTTTTTTATAGTAACTTTTATTTTACTCATAACTCTTATTTATTGTCAAAGAGCAATCATACATTCAGAGCGTTTTTGGCGCTCGAAAAGTTTCCAGTGGAAACCACTCCCAAAAAACAGTCACTCTAAAACCAATTTCTCTTTTAAAACCCCGCAAATTTCAAAAATCTAAACACCATCCTCTGCTGAATAGATTTTCTTCTTTTTTTCTATATTTCACAATAATATGAATGAGTACAGTACAGCTCGGTGTGTGTATACTTAAAATTAACTTACGTACATTAAAGCTCGTTTAAAATAGATACATTTACATAGTTGGATTACATATTTGACTTTCTTAAAACATAAATGGAGAGCTCCAAATATTTCTCAATTGTTCCGCCATGGCGCCGAGTGCAGAAAACAAAACAAACATAAATTGACATTATAAATATGCAACAGATTATCGAGAGATATAAGAATGTACGATTATATCACAATAATAAAGGAATACATACATTTTAAATGATATTTTTTTTAAAGCCCGACAAATATAACGACTTTTAAATCAGAGCATAATACTAAGTTACACTAATATTTCGTATATAAAACAGCTACTTTTTGCTACTGATAACGTGATCCCTGCTTGGGGATCAGCTCGCTTTCCACTCGATTCTGGGCTTGGTTCTTCAGTTATCGTTGGACAGATTTGTGATCTTGGCCGCATACATGCTGGCCACCTTGTAGATAAATTCATACTGCTCCTTGGTCTGGACTGCACTGGCCCGTCCCCTACGGACGTAGTACACCAGCTGTGGTATGTCCACCGAACGCTTTGGGGTCTCCAGACTACGAATGGCCATGTCTGAGGCAATAATGGTGCCGGTACGTCCCGTGCCTGGAGAACAGTGAACGGTTAGCGGTCTAAGGGGGGAGAGGAGAAACACAAAACATTAAAAAAAAGCCATGCAAGACACAAATGCTTCAGTGATAAGAATCCCTTACCCTTGCTGGTTTCTGGCTGCACTCCTGCTGGAAATGTTTCCATTAATCTCATTGCTGGACGTGCTGCCCGCCTCTGATTTGGTACCACCGCCGCCATCTGCATCCAGCGATGTCTCCAGCGTCGCCGATTTCTCCCTCAGCTCATTGGCCTGCTCTAGGCAGTAAGACTTGAGAGAGGATCTTGCCTCTAGAAGCATGGCTATGATGGGTGCCTCTTCGGCGGGCACTCCCGCCTCGGGCCACTTGTACCAGTAGTGGGTGAGCTCGCGGCTCTCCTCTCCATCTACACGCTTCAAAACCAGCGTGGATATGGCATATCTATCCTTCACCTCGCGATGCTTCAGTGTCACCTGGTAATCGCCGTAGCTGCTGTGATTATCCAGCGTGGCCGATGGCGGCAGGTATTCGGCGCACTTCTCGATTCCATTCTCGCTGAGATCCGTCGCCTGGATGATCACGCGCGACTGCTGCTCCCAGATCATGCGCCAGAAATCGCTCGTCGTGCTCTCCAGCGGCGCCTGGCAGGCTATGTAGTAATTGGGCGCATCTCGTGGGCCCTGTAGAAAAGGAAAAGTAAACAATATAAACAATATATCGTTAAAAAAGTGTCTTGAGTGTGGGATATTAACATAAAAGGAGGGGTCTTGGCTATGATTCATAGTTTAGGTTGGGCCCTGTTTGTAGATAAATTGATTTTATATGGGAGAGTTTCAATTTTATTAAAAGTTTATGAGTTTATGGGCCTGAAAAGTTAGTTTCTTATGTGGGATATTATATTGAAAGGTTTAAAGATTCAAAAGCCGAATCGATCTAGTCATATCCTTTCTTACTTTAATTAGTCTCTGAGTTATACAGCTTTCGAATTGGAACTTTCCAAAAGATTAGGTTTATAAAAAAAAACATAATATTAAAACATAACATATAGGAAAGTTAGGTTTTGACTTATAAATTCAAATCTAAGAGAATATACAAAAAGGTATGAATGAGATGGTTCAGAGAACTATATCATACTATAAACTGTCACGAAAAGTAATAAAAAAATTCCAATCATTAGGTTTGATTGGTTTTATTTTTTGTATAATTAAGAGGATTTAGGGCTCATGCTCTTTTCCACTACCGAGAGAGGTCACTAAAAGCGCAATTGGCCAGCATGAGTGATGATATAACTATTAATTAAAACCTATTGCGGCTTAAGCCCACACAAATGACTGGCGTTGGCGATGGAGATGATCATGTGAGCGACGCGGCTCGACTCTCTGATAAAAGACCATAAAAAATCGCATTGCCGGGGAAACTTCTGTTGTTTAAATCTCAACAAGCCCATGTTATCGGCAGGTGCAAGTCGATGGACGACTAAAAATGTTTCGCTCCAATGCATCGACGCTGTCACGCTTCAATGCAGTTGTGTTTTAAAGTGCGTTTTTAGTAAACTGCAAACATCAGGCAGGACTTTTGCTTAAAAAAACGTATGCCAATTAATGAAACACACTTAAAAAACACAAAAATAAAAGTTTAGCAATGGTGAGAACGCTAATTTTATACTTTAAAAATAATAAAGATAAAACAAAATTGAAAGTAAGAACGTTAATTACTCTGAATAACCTGAAATTAGGCAATTGTCTTGAGTTAAGCTAAAAAAAAAAAAATAACTAAATATGTGATGGCTACATTACAATTATAAGCCAGGTTCTTATAATTGAGAACAGTATCTTGGGGGTTAATTTTTTCATAAATTATATCATTTAAACAACTGTGAAATGACTTAAGAATGAACGAACAAGATAATGCGGTATCTTAATGGCAGGTAAAAATAGCTCTAAAGACTTTAAAACTGATAAAAACAAGAATAAATAAAATGAACACGTTGTCATCTTTATAAAAGAACTGTTAAAAGATTAAATAATTTAAAAGGAATTTTTAAGGAAACTATTTAACAAAAAAATCTGTACAAAACAAAAGAAATTAAATTCATAGGCATGTCTGTATAGCCCTTGAATTTCTTAGAGTTTCTTTGTTTTATAAATAATAAAATTCACTATCTTAAAGCTTTCTGATTTAGTGATTTCCCAGACAACTTTGAGCTTGCGGGTCATGATGTAAGGGCATTTACACTTCGGTGATCTTGGCACACACTTTCCCTTTGCAGCAATTACTAGTTGCTGCTCTTTGCTCGAACCTATTTGCTTGCTTGGATCGGGGCAACAAAGACTCTGAAGCCATGGCCACCACCAGGAGGAGCTGCTGCTGCCGCTAGCAGGTGAGTCTCATCGGCCGTGTAATTATTCCAGCGCCATGTTTAATGGCCCTCGAGGGGGCCCCGAAGATTTCAGTTAGGGCAGGGCGTCATGCAAGGCTCGCCACGTATGCTAAAGTCACTCCAAGATGACTCCAAACAAGCCACCCACATGTGAGAAAGCGACTCGATTGTTTTGATGGCTGGAATGGATGGATGAGCTGATCCGCCACCGCCACCTCCGAGACTCTGCCTCGGTTACTTACCCGCACATAATTGGCATTAATGTATTCCGTTTTGTCATCGTCGCCTTGCCGCTGGAGCACCACACGCGTCTCAGGAAGCGGAATCACGTTGGCGTAGCTGCGGTTCCCCAGTTCGAGGTCGGTATACATCGGGTTGGGAGTTGAGTCATCATCGGCGGCGATGTTGTTATTGTTTCGGGAGAAAAAAGCAGGAAGAGATGGGTAGAGATCAGTATTGTAATTAATTGAACTCGTTGCGAGAAAGTGAACTCTTAATTGCGGTTGATATTGATTGCAGGGAAGATTTAATCCCAGGGAGAGATCTTAACTTGAATGCTATTAACCTGAAGGATCTTCTTGGGAAGTTGGTTTAGAGAATTGAAATCTACTAAAGGTAGAGAAAAATAAATCTTTAAAGTCCTGTTTATGTGGGTTTTAGTTTGTGTAGAAAATTCTATACGATTCTGCAAGAGATTAGTAATCTTTCAGGGCTTGAATACCTTTAATAAATAATGTTTTCATTGAAGTTATGCTTATCTAATCAAAGCAAAGTCATTTAATCAAATTAAGATTAAGATTACCTCATGAAATGTTGATAAAACATATCTATTAAATGTATTTTCAAAATTAACACAACATTATAAGCTTCAAGACCTTCTTTAAGCTTATTTTCCAACCAATATCCACTGTTGTTCCTTTCCCTGTAAACCCCTTACTCACCGATTCTTATCCTCACAGCCCGGTGGCACCTCATCCGCTCTGGCTATGATCTGTGGCACATCCCTGAACTCCTCAAAGACATCGGATCGCCTCTCCACAAAGCGGGCCAGCTCACTGGCATTCAAAAGATTATGCCTTAGCGAAGGATCATCAAAGGCAGCATTGCCATAGGTTCTCTTAGAGGCTCTCACATCCCTGCCCTTCCTTCGCACGCTGCCCAGCACTGAGACATTGTCCAGGGAGTAGGCATCCAGGCTAACCGGACGACAGCGCTGGCCATAGGAAGTCTGCTTCTGTCGCTTTCTCATCAAATAAAGGAAGGCCACCAGCAGGATGAGGGCCACTACGCCAATCACGCTGACTGTGATGGCTATGATTACATTGACATCCGTGCCGTTTCCCTGGGCATTGGTCTGCATGTGATCCAGTTCGTTGGGATAAGGAGCCATAAAGGTGGGCGGTGGCAATTGAGTGGTGGTAGTAGTTTCTAGGGGCAACATGTTGCTCTCAGTGCTGCTGCTGCTGATCACTATTGGAGGATCTGTATACTCCTCCGTAGCAGGAGCAGCTGTGGTTGTCGTCGTAGTGGTAGTGGTGGTAGTGGTGCTATCGTCCAGGAGACTTATCACCGGTGGTTGCATTGTAGTGCTGGTACTGGTACTGATCGAGGGCGTCTCCGTTGTCGAACTGGTTCTGGTTACAACTGCCATTGTGGTCTTGGTTAGCTCTTGCTCTGTATCCTGCTCTTCGACCACCTGTTGCCCTTCATGGTGCAGGGGCTCCTTTACCTGTTGACCACCTGTTGCTGTTCCTGCTGTTGGTGTGCTTTCATCCGTGGCAGATGTTGCTGCTGCTGCTGCTGTTGTGGATTCGGGCGCCTCCCCTATGTTGTTGGTTTCCAGTGAGGACTCGTGCTCTGGGCTAAGTTTACCGAGGTCATTGAGCGGACTGCCGGTTGTGGTTGTTGTTGTCGTTGTGGAGCTTGTTCCTGCTGCTGACTCGCTCTCTGTTATGGCCACACTGTTATTGACCGCGTTATCGGTTTTCTCGGCCGTTATTGGGCCTGAGACACCCAGGTCTTGGCCGTTTTCGTTTGCACTCTTCACTGTCACTGCCTCCAAATTCACTTCATTGCTAATTTGAGCCACTTCCGTTGGCGTAGGCGTAGCTAGAGTCGACGTACTCGCACTCGTACTTGTGCCCGTAATTGCACTCGTCCCGGTTACGGATATATCTGGCCGAGTTGTGCTCGTAGTGCTCACCTCGCCATTCAATTTTCCACTGACTGTTGCCTCGGTTTGTGTCGGTGCCTCTGCTTTTGCCTCGACGACTGACGACGCTGTTGCTCTCTGCTCACTCTCTGGCCTGTTGGTTGTGGCTACGATGACGTCGTTACTGGTATTATCTACCTCGTATGCTAAGTTTTCGTTGTTGTTTATGTTTCTGCTGCTGCCTTCAGTGCTGTTAATATTTACCGATTCGTAAGCTTCGGTTTTATTGTTGCTGATTTTACTGACATTTACAGGAGAGGCTTGAATTGCCATTTCAGTTGTGCTGCTAATTACAGGGATTTCTGAACTAACAGAAGAAATTACAACTGATATTGCCTTCGGAGTTGTTGTTGCTTCTGTGGCTGCAAAAGTTGGTGTTGCCTCTGTGGTTGCTAAGACTTCTAGGACTGCCTTGGGAGTTGTTGTTTTTTCAATTGTTGCTAATGTCACGGCTTCAGAAACTGCTGCTGCTGCTGCTGCCTCTGAATCAATTTCAGTTGAATTATGTTGCTCGGATTCTAGCTCCCCAGTTGTGGCATTAACTAAAGGTAACATTTCACCTGATACAGCTGTTTTTGTTAAAGCCACCCTCGCTGTAACAGCTGCTGTTGGGGGTGGCTCTGTTAGGGGAATGTCTACTAAAGCCTCTGTTGTGGCTTTTGTCTCATTTTGAGCCTCTGTTATTGACTCTATTATCGCCTCTTTTAGCTCGGCGTTGGCGGCATCGGACATCTTTTTGACCATTGGAACATCTAGTAACTCCGTTCGAGCAGTGGTCGTGGCTGGTTTCTCATCAAAGGAACTTTCTTCACCTGCCGCAGGGGTGGTTTCTCCTAATCCTTGAGTCATTTCACTCTTTGGATGACTCTCCTCCTCCAAGGGTTCAGTGGTGGCTTGCGTTGCTCCCTCAGTTGCTTCTAAGGTAGTTCTGACCACAAACTCGGTTCGATTCTCCATCATTGCAATCTGCTGCCAGTCCAGTAGGTTCTTCTCCTTCACTTGGGGCTGCTCCTGCTGCTGCGTTCGGTTCTGCTGCATGGGTCCTTCTATGTCATTGGCCAAATCTGTGTGATTCAGGAGTGGCAATACAGTCGTGCTTGTTATCAGCGGAAGAGGAGCCGCCTTTGGCACAGCCTTCATCCCCGCCAGACTCCAAACCTCTGCGGTATTGGGCAGCGTCAATTGCTGGGCATTTGTGGAGTTTTCACTGATGAACTTGGCCCGCTTCTCGGGCAACTGGCGAAGACCTGGCTCTGACTCTGAAGTAGACTCTTCGATGGCGTTTTCGTTGGAGGCAAAGGTAGAAGGCGTGCTTGTCGAGGGAGCACTAGTTGAGATGGTTTTTTTGGTAGTGGATGTCATGGGCAGGGCCCTTAATTTCATGGGTGTTACTGCAGCCAGGGTTTGGATCGCCTCTTCAGTGGTTGAGGAGTACTGCATGGATCGACCATGCTCGGAGGATCGAGTAGTGGTATTTGGAGCTCTCTCGGTGGTGCTGGAAATGCCTAGAGTTGCAGGTTTTATTAGGAGATTCTCGGTGGTGGTACTGGCTGGAGTTTCTGTAGTTTTTGCAAGGATTTCAGACTGTTTTGGGGGTTCTTCCTTGGAAAGAGATTCATTGACTTCCGCCTTCTTTAGTTCTTTAGGTTCTGAGATTGTGCTTGAAACTTCTTTGACTGGAGCTTCACTTTGTTTATTCTCCAGGTGAGTCTTGTTGATAATGGTTGAGTCTTCTGTAAACGCATGAGCAAGAATTTCCTCATTCTTGGACCTTCCTTGGGTTTCCTTCTCTAACTGAGTGCCCAAAGTTTCCTCCTCCTTTGGTTTTGGTTGTTCTTTTTCCAGTTCTCCATCGGATGACCTACTGACTTCTGAGATTTCCTCTTCTGTAGGCTTAGTCTTTAGGCTCTCTGAGAGGGTTACAGTTTCATCTTCCAACTCAGGCTTAGCTTCCTGGGTCTCTCCCAGAAATTCGGCTTTTGTTTCATCCACTGCCCCGACATTCCCGCTTTCCCTGGCCGGCGTAACAATGTCAGGGTCAGTGGAAATGGAAGTGGAAGCCACCGCTTGATCCAACTGAGCGGTTTCTCTTTTCGCAATGAAACGTGCCTGCGTTAGCATTACGGCCAGGGCGAGCATAAAGCCGCCAATACTCAGTCTGCTACCCATACGCATTGTGTCTCTTTCTACTGACGTTTATACCTGTCTCTCTTTACTCGGAGGCGCCTCTCTGTGGGTCAAGACAATTCCACGTTCGACTGGGCCTTAAAATCTCAGTTTGAGCTTAAGTTATTGCAGTTCTTTTTTAGCTTGGTTTCTCATTTTTATTTCGAGCAATTTGCAATCATTTTTTCCTTGTTTATTTTTCTGAGATTTTGGTGGCCATTTTACCTGCAAAGAAAAAGAGGAATACAAATTAGTTACTGGGTAAATATGTCTTAATAAATTCATATTATTTTTTCTGTATGGTATGACATTTTTTGCTGCCCAGAGTACGCTGAAATATTCCTTGGAAAGTGAGTAACAATTTCCCTTTCTATAAGCGGAGCTCTCCATAAACGTAATTAATGTCATTAAGACACGTTCTGCATTCCAAGGAATACGAACACAAGTTCAAGGGCATCTACCTTGATTAGGTGAGTTAAATATAGTTTAGTATAGTAATGAATTGGTACTAAGATAGTACTTCATTAACTTTTCTTTAAGGTGTTATTGAACTTCTATTTTCGCATTTGTTTGCCCAAGTTCAGTGTGGCATTTTCCCATAATAAATAATGTCAAGGAAGCCCAGAGAGAGGTTCATTGCACCCAGTGCCCAAAAATAGTTCATATCAAAGTGTTTACCATCTCCATACCCACAGCTCCATGGATTTCGAGTCATGGAACTAGCAAAATGCACAAGGTTCATTCAACCACGGCCTCCGTCAAAAGTTGCTCAGAGAGTTGAAGTATTCGAACCCAACGGCAAACAGAGCCACCCAATAATAACTATATGTATAAAGGGGAGGCGTGAGTTTACCGACTTCATTCACCATGGTTATCGCTGGGTTTGTTATCTACCGATCCGGGCAATGCCATGTCAATGGTGCATGCAACTAACCCCCCCCCCCCATCAAGGTGGAGCAGCAGGGGACCCCAAACCCCCAGAACCGCTGGGGAAAATATGCCTACCCCCATAGGTTGGCAATTAGTGCTAAAAGCCCCTGTTCGGTGGTGGTGTTAGCTTTGGTAGCTCGTCATTATTGACGTTACCCTCTCACACGGTGGTGCGATATTCAGGTGTGGCGCCACCCTCATACAACCCATTGAACGGGTCTCTTGAGCCCTTAAGGGGTTGCCCTCTTAAATAGTACTACCTTTTTGCCTAGAATTCACCCAGTTCTCCAGGGGGACTACATCTTCTCTTTTTTATAATCAGCTGCCTTTTTAGCCATGTGTCCGCTGACTAATGGCGCTCGGAATATATAGATATAGGGGGCATTTGTGTGTGTGCCTGAGCTGATAAGAATTGCCAACAAACCCAGACGGGGACAAAATCACAGTTATGGGGTATTTTGTAATTTTTTTTTATACTTTTGAATGTCAACTGCTGCTGATAAAAAAAGCAGCAAAAGTAAATTCGTTATCGTTTATGTTGGTTATGGCTGAAGGGCATCGATGGCCACCGGTTGAGGGAATGCCATATTTACTTAAGCTAAGTAAATAAATTAAAGTAAGTGGGGGACTTTATAAACAGCTCAAGTCCGGTAAAGCTTGCAGTTGGTTTATTTTTAAACATATTAAAAAATGTGAAAAAGCAAACAGATAAAAGTAGGAAGGATAGGAGCACGTAAAAGGTAGTGACTAAATTATATAAACAATCTTAATCTGGGTATAACCTATAGGAATGTTGTGACTAAAATTGGTAGGTGTAGTTTTTAAGGTTTCTAAGATATGGTTTCTGATACGAACAGATGGACAGACGGACAAATGAACAAGCGGACTGCTAGATCTCATACCCTGCTGATAAAGAAAGATAAATTCATAAATAAATAAATATAAATACTTCCTTCACACAATTTTTATAATTATAGAAATTTCTGTTTATTATTTTTAATACTTTTAAAAAATTAATAAAAAATTAAATTTCCATTGAAAATAAATATTTTACCATAATTTTACACACTATTTTACCTACGCAGTGGCGACACCAGGGTGCACCCTGATCACCATCAAACATGATCAGCCTAAAAGTATACACTTAAAACATTTCCAAGACTTCATTCACCTTTCCCCCAAACTCACCCACTCAAGAAAACTTAATGCCAGCCTAGAAAATAATTTCCCCAGAACCCATCAAAAGACACAAATCGATCAAGAAGGAACCACCTAGTGTTACACTAAACCACAGCCTAGGGTTAGGGCCAGAGACCGCAATTTGAATCCTCCACTTAACTCAAATGAAACCCACGAGCCCTGAAGCTCTGGAAACGTGACTCGATCCGGGGAGTCAAGTGCTGCACCCTGGCATTGGAGAAGAGAGGAGAGGAGCTGATGCATGTTTCCAGATGTAAACAGAAATCAGTATTAGAGAAACGAAGCTCTGGCTGGGGAGACGACTCATTTCCGCTTCAGCAGCACGCACTGAGGATGAACGAATGGCTTAGAATTCCCCAGTGAAGACTCTCCTCTTTCTTCCAACTTTCAGCTTAAGATCCCAGTCATGATCGAGAATGATCTCTAAACCAGTTTTTCGCTTCGATTTCGATTTGCAATTATGATTTCACTTGCATTGCGATCGCGATCGCGATTCCGATACTGGATGAATGTGGAGAATGGCTGGCGTATCTTAATGATCTCGGGGAGCGGGAGCTGGAGCCAGGCCAAGTGATTGCTGCGGTGGCTTGTGATAATGACAGCCATCTGGGTAGTCATGACTTGGATCTGCTCTTGTGATTGATGGCCTGGAGGGGTTAGGTTAGAGCGATGAGTCTATCGGTGGCATAGGATCGTTAGCTCAAAGAATCGATTGCTGGGAATTTTCTTCAAGTAATTTTTTAGAGTTTAAGTTAATCATTAACCAGAAAAATCGATTAGATGAAGTGATTTTAAAAGCTTAAAGACGATTGAACTAATTGGAAGAAAATCGTTAAGTTGCATTAAGAGATTATGGGAAAATCGATACAAAAAGATTTGAAAATTTAAAGATTATTTTATTGTACCAGTAGCTTGGCTTTCTTTTGTAGAATTGTTATTGTTTAAGTTCTGAATAGAATTAACCCAAGTTTACTAAAACAATATTAAAGTAAATTACTGTAAAGCTTAACCCAAATGACGGACTCTGCACGCAGACTCCCGGCACCAAAATAGAATTCCAAAGAATGCCAACAGTTGGCTTGGATTATCACAGACACAGAAACTCATGCTCATAATTATATATATACACATATATATGGTATTTATACTCTTCTTCTAAGCTACGTTCTAGGTTGAAAGATGCACAGATGAAGATACTTATCAATAATGAATAGCGAGCGGGACTTGATGCGCTCTGAAATCAGCCGAGTGTGATGGAGAATGCGACGCCTGGCACGCTCAAGCGATAACTGTAGCATTAGTACTATATATACGTATATATTTGAGTTGGAAAAATAACGGTCTAGAGACAAAACTATAAGTATCCACGGAAGCAACTCTCATTCGAACTCAAACTCAATGCTATCACCATTATTCTCTATTTACGAAACTTCCCATGCGTATCATGATGTGTTGTATCTTCAAAATGGGAAGTTGCTTCGAAATTTGCTACCATTCATGCGATTTGAAGATGACTCATTTGCATGCCATTTGCTTATATCATGCTCTATACTTGTATACGACGAATTCATAGTCAAATTTCTTTATTTCTTTAACGAAAATCATAGTCTCTGCCCCGGAGCTGAACTTTCAACGCAATTAAGTTTCCGAAAGAAATCGAAACCCGCAATGAAATCGAACTCAATCGCAGAGACTCAAAGCGGTCAAATGGTTCATCAGCCACAACGGATATATGTTTGGAAGTTACGATACATTGAGAGAAAATTAGTAAGAATTAGGGTAACAGTAAAAAAATTAGAAAGAATTCTTTTATAACAGTTTAAAGAACTATTTTGCAAGGATTTTAGGATCCTTAAAGGGTATATATTCTGACAATACCTATATAAAGAAGGGATTTATTCTATTTTCATTAAAAAAATTACTATTAAAATTTTCTTATCAGTTCTGTATCTTTTATATTACCGTAACTAGAACAATATATATAATAAACTTAATATAAACACAATTATTAAAGATTAAAACAAAGTAAATTAAGCTGCTAATATGTAAACACAACAGTGTATCTTAAAGCATATCAAGATCATGTTAAACTCTTCACAAGATAACCATTTTCGATCTTCAAAACTATCTGATTAAGACCTGACTTTTTGCACTGTGCAAGCAAATGATCGCATTCATCAATTTTGACCTTGCTGGCCCTGGCCATTGGCGTTTATTGAACCAGGCAGCAACAAAAATATATGTATCTACATTGGCCCGTCTAAATCGCAAATGAGTTCTGTCATTATTGCTTTATGTTTGTGTTTAGGAAAACTCACGATCTCTGGCTACTTGAATTGTATATTAATTCCATTTTTATAACACTTTCCAGCAGCATATGCTGGATTTTTGCATGATTCCAAGCAGACAGATGCTACTCATTTGTTATGCATAAAAAGTCTTAACCCTCTAGTGCCCAAGACCGCCTCTAGACGGGCAATGTTAAAAACACCGTTATTTTATTATTTTCATTCCTTTTCACACGGTTTTCCGTTTTTTCTAATTCAGGAAAGTCCAAAAATTAAGTTCGTTGCGTTTGGAATACATAATAGAGCTAGCGCAAGCTGCTGTATTCATTTGAAGTTGAAAATTTGTGCAAATCGGAGAAAATAATTATTTTGTAGGAAATACAACATGTAAATACTTTTTTTAGAAATTGGAAAAAAATTAGAAAAAAAAATTGTACTGTGTTGCTGACAGTCTCAATGACATTTATAATAAACATTTAAACAAAAAAAAATTTTACCTAATTTTTTGTTGGCCTATCTTCCCAGAACTGCCTTTATGCGGTCTAAGGTTTTAGTCATATAAAACTCGATCCGAGCAAAAGTAAAAATTTTTCCAAAACAAACATTCACTTTTGATACATACTGAATCCAAAAATAATTTTTTTTTTGAAAAAAAAAATTTGGGCACTAGAGGGTTAATAAGTTGAATGGTTTACATGTGGCCTAATAAATATAGAACTCGATCATAGCCAAACAGAGTTTGATGTCCGTGCAACATGCAAGTTTAGGCCACCTTTTGTATATGTCCAAGCCTTTTGTCCATTGTCT